TTTAAGATGTTATTCTGTCTGTGATGAGGGAACCCCTTAGTGTTGTTTTTTTAGACTACTGTAAAAATTATAACTGCTTTCCTGATTTGCTAAACTATTGTTTCTCTGACTACAGTGTTATGTTGAGGTCGGCTCCATGCAGGTGACATAGGATTACTATCCTTCCTCTTGTCATGAAGTGCTTTCAGTTCTGACTCCTAGCAAAATTGTATAGGAATTCCAAGGCTGTAAATCTTTGCAGGAGCAGAAAACCTCATCTTCTTCCATGGAATGACTGATGGACTTGAACTGCCAATGTTGTAGTCTGCAGTCCAGTTTTTATCATCTAGAGCCACTGCACTCCCAGGAATCACACGGCTGTTGGTTGTTAAGTGCCGAGAAGCCTGTTCCCACTCATAGCAATCCTGTATAGGGTTTCCGAGGAGCAGCTGGTGGATTTGAACTGTCACTCTTGTGGTTAGTAGTCTAGTGCCTATCCTCCATCCAGAGCAAAGACAAATTAAGAAAATTGAAGACACAGGAAATACCAGAGTAATATTGTTAGTCTACCTTAACATAAATCTCCACAACCCTGAGACCAGAAGAACTAGATGGTACCCAGCTACAGAAAGAGATCACATTAGAAGGTCCTGGATAGTGGATAGAGTAGGAGAAAAATGTGGAACAAAAGTCAAAATGGTAGAAAAGGCCAGACTTACTGATCAGCTAAAAATTGGTGGAATCCTGACAATATGACTTTTAGTCACCCTTCAGGTCTGAAATGGAACTCAATTTTCAGTAAAACAACAGACATGTCTATAAAGCGAACAAGATGGATTGGCCAAGTGGCAGCATTGATGGACTCAAGCGTAGCAACAGTAGTGAGGTTGGCCCAGGATTGGGAAGTGTTTCGTTCTGCTGTGCATAGGGTCACTATGGGTCGGTACTGACTCGATGGCAAGTAACAACAACAACAACAATAAAGGGAACAGTAATACTAAGGAGGTACACACTCCTTAGAATAGTCAACCATTTGAAATAAAAAGTCAACATTTATCCAAGGATAAAATTCAGAAGGATGTGACACTGTAGGATAAGCACTTGAGTGCTAACCAAAAGACTGGTGCTTCAAACCCAAGCCACTCCATGGAAACCCTATATAGCATCACTATGAGTTAGAACTGACTCCACGACACTTAACAACAAAGTTCAGAAGGGTTAATAAAGAAACTGGAAACACCAATGGGAAGTGGGATAAATGCTGTTAGATTGTGGGGATTGTAATCAATGATGTGTACCAATGATTGGATGAACATTGATTTGTTCTGTAAACCTTCACTTAATTCACAATAATAAAAAAAGTAAAACAAAGCAGAAAAAATGTCTGCCTTGAACAGTGAGCTCTTTTTAAGAACTAGCCATATGAGATCAAATTGACAAGAGTAACTCAAAAGGTTAGATAGGAAATGTAGGAGGCAGTGAGTTTGCATTGATAAGTGAGAACAACCCAGAAAAGCCGAGAGAGAACTAGTGCACAACTTGAAGCATGTAACTGAATTGTTCATGAAGAAATTGTTGATTGGTGTATGCTCTGTTGTGTATATTTTCAACAACAAAAACAAGTGAAATAAGCCATTAAATTTTTATAAAAAAAGAAATCAAGTTTAGACTCCCATCAATTATAACTATAAGTACTGTTTTAGCACTTTTTATGTGCAGTACTGCTTCACCATTAACTCATTTAAGGAGCTCTAGTAGCATAGTCCTGGTGTGGCACTGTGGGTTAATGCGCCAGAGTGCAAAGCCATTTGAACTGTAGGGTTGGCGGTTCAAGCTCACCAGCTGCTCCTTAGAAACCCTATCCAGGGTCACTATGGGTCAGAACCAACTTGATGGCACTTAACAACAACAACAACAAGTAGCATAGTAATGAGGTTGGCCCAGGATCAGGCAGTGTTTCGTTCTGCTGTGCATAAGGTCACTATGAGTCGGTACCGACTCGATGGCACCTAACAACAACAACAACAAAGTAGCATAGTAGGTTATGAATTGGCTGCTAACAGCAAGTTCAGCAGTTAGAGTCTACAAGACATTCTACAGGAGAAAGATGAGGCTTTGGAGTTCTGGTGTGGTGCTGTAGGGTAAACATTGGACTTTTAACCAAAAGGTCAGTGATTCAAATCCATCAGCTGCTCCTTGGAAACCCTATGCAGGGTTGCTAGAAGTCAGAACTGACTCAACAGCACGTAACAACAACAACATATCCCTATTAGGTAGGTTCTATCATTGTTGTTGTTGTGTGCCGTGGAGTTGGTTCCGACTCACAGCAACCCTGTACAGGGTTTCTGAGGGTGTAAATCTTTACGGGAGTAGAAAGCCTCATCTTTCTCCCATGGAGCAGCTGGTAGTTTCGAACTGATGACCTTAAGGTTCGCAGCCAGATTCGTAACCACTACGCTACCAGAGCTCCTTCATTAGATCATTTCAAATACAGGAAATGTGACCCAGGGAGGTCAAGTAGCCTGCCTGAGGCCACATAAGGAAAATCATAGAAGAATTGATGCATTTGAATTATGGTGTTAGAGAAAAGTATCACAATTACTATGGACTTCCAGAAGAACAATCAACTCTGTGATGGAAGAAGTACAGCCAAAATGTTCCTTAGAGGTGAGGATAGCAAGATTTGATCTCTTACTTTGGATATGTTGTCAGGAGGGACCAGTTCCTGGAGAAGACTATCATCATAAAAAAAGAGGAAGACACCCAAGATAGATTGGTCCAGTGGAAGCAGCAATGGAGTCAGACATAACAACAGTTGTGAGAATGGTTCAGGACCACCCAACACTGTTTTGTTCTGTTGTGCACGGAGTCGCTATACATTGGAACCAACTCAATAACTCTAACATAACATAACATCATTAGTCCCATCTCAGAGACAGGAAACACAGCCCAGAGAGGTCAAGTTGTCCGCATGAGGCATATAGCTAGTAAGTAGGAATTAAACCCAGATGGCCCAGGATCAGGCAGTGTTTCATTCTGCTGTGCATAAGGTCACTATGAGTTGGTACCAACTCGATGGCACCTAACAACAACAACAAGTCCCAATCTGGACTCCTGATGTGGCACTGTAGGATCAGCACTGGACTGCATACTGCAAGGTTGGCAGTTCAAACCCACTAGCTGCTCCTCGGAAACTCTATACAAGGTGGCTATGAGTCGGAACTGACTCGACAGTACTTAACAACAAGAAGTTCCGATCTGATTCCAGAGTCTGTTTCTTCCCATCAACCAGATTGTAAATAATTGCCAAAGTACACAAACGTCTACAACAGGAAGCCAGGAAAAGCCACACAGAAAGGGCACATTGCTGTACATGAGAAAAAGGAGGCAGTCTGAATCCATTAAGATTTGCAGCCCCAAAAGCAGTTGTGCTCTGTCCTTGAGGGTTGCTCGGAGTCAGAATCGCCTCGATGATTTTGGTTGGTTGGGTTCACTAGGAAGTATCTGAAATCACACCCAGGTTTATTTTACCCCTTTATTATACTTGTTTCCTCCCAGTCATGCATTCATCTTACATTTGTGGAACACCTACTTGTTCCAGGCACCCAGCCTCTGGGGCTTACCACTTAGCCCCAGCGTCAGGCCCGATGGCAGAGCGCTGACTAATCCCCGCTCACCTTCAAAACTCACTGCTTTGACTGTATTGATTGTCACTGCTTATAAGTTCTGCTTTCCCATCTGCAGGTCATTCTCAGTCAGCAAGGGGATAGGGGACGGGGGCCAGCCCTCTTGACTGCTGGGAAATGCCAGCCCAGCTCCCCGGGGCCCACTGACCAAATAACTAGATCCTTGGCTGGACAGACAGCAGCTATCTGGAACATGCACAGAGGACACCTGAGACCTACGACAAGGCTCCTGGGTGTTGCAAGCAGTTTGCATTCATCAGAAATTTCTCTGTTCAAATCCACCAGTGGTATCTTGGAAGAAAGGCTTGTGGCCTACTTGTGAACAGCCAGCCATTGAAAACCCTATGGAGTGTGGTTCTATTCTTACATATATGGGCTTTGGTTTGGGTTTACTATGTGCAGGGCACTGTTCCAGGAACTTCAGGCTCAGGATCCCATGGGATCCCTTCATGGGATGAGACTTTTCCTCTCTATCTTTCTCTGCCCAGTGGGATCTTGGCTCCTGCTCTGCCTTCTCCCTTTTCACTAAATCAGGGTAACAGGGACCCAGATCTAGATCATAACCTTCTGAAGAACAGACCAGGGCTCTGGGCATCTGTCCACACCACCTAACACCATGAACTTAGTGCTAAGTGTACCTTGTGGTTGGTATTATTAAGTGCCATCAAGTCAGTTCCTACTTATAGTTACCCTGTATAGGGCTTCCAAGGAGCATCTGATGGATTTGAACCTCCAACCTTGCAGTTAGCAGTCCAGTGCTTATCCTACAGCACCACACCAAGACTTGGAGTGTACATTTTGTTGTTGCATGCCATTGAGTCGATTCTGACCCATAACAACCCTGTATAGGGTTTCCAAGGAGCAGCTGGTGAGTTTGAACCACCGACCTTGAAGTTCAAATGACATTGCATTCTGGTGCATTAACCCACCGTACCACACAAGGACTCCCAGAGTGTACATAGTAGGTGTCTAATGGATGCCTGGCGAACAGCATTATCGAAGTGCAGGATGGACAGACAGCCATGTACAGACATACTCTGGGCAGGCTTGTATCAAGGCCACAGCAGGAAAGAGGAGGAAGTTTGGAGGACAGATATCCAGGGTAGAAAACCTGGGCCCCCTCGTTCCCAGGGACACCCTGCTTGAGACAGCTGATTGAGCCAGGGGAGTGAGGTAGGTGAGTTAGCCCATTTCTGAATGTGACTGTGGTCTTGAGCTACCAGAAACAAGGTCCATTTTGTCACTAATAGGGCATCACCACACAAGAAACAAAGTCAAACAAGGATCAAGCTCGGGGGCTCTCCATGAAGGACAGAGAGTTGCCAGAAGCCATACCCGTCACTCCAGGATCCTTTCCATTCGGTGTGGCCCCAAGGGTTCCACAGGCGGATAATATCTTCCTTGCCTCTCCTGTATTGGATCTGTAAGGAAGAACATGCAACAATCACTGCTCCAGTCAGCAGAAAGAGGGAATATGAAAGCAGCTACTTTTACCTCCAAGGACTAATTTAACTTCTGACCTCATTTGGCTGCAGCCAGGAAAAAAAAAAAAAAAAATGGAAACAGGAAAAAATCAATGCTTCTCTGCTGCCTGTTAAGAGTAGAAATGAGAAAGGAGACAAAGCCCCATGCCTCACCGCACCTCCCCAGGGCAGGTGCAGCTTTATCATCCCTCATGCCTGCTGTCCTAGGACTGGACATAGCAGCAGATAAAGAGCTTGGAACACTGCTAGAGACTTCAAAGGGGGGATCTTTATGGGTCCCCAGCCTCCTCTGAGCCTGTCACAGAGGGCACCCCTATTCTACATCTTGCCTGTGTTACTGCCATTGGCCCACTGGAAGCTGTGTGTGAGTCTTCACAGCGCTGCCCAGAGGTATCACTGCTGTTGATTCGGACTCCTAGTGATCCAGTGCGTCTTAGACTAGAACTGTGCTCCAAAGGATTTTTAACGGTTGAGTTTTGGGAGTAGAAAACCAGGTCTTTCTTGAGAGGAACATCCAGGTGGATGCAAACCACTAAGATTTTTGTTAGTAGTCCATCATCACCACCCAGAGACTCCGGAATAGTGGGTAAGAAAGGTTGATTGGAGCAATACCAGGACTTGGCATCAAGGTATTCAGGCTAACTCTCCTCATTCTGCCTCCCTGGCTGGCACCAGGCCCCAGCATAGGGACCCTGTCTGACCTGAATATTCCTGCCTACCTCCCTCCCAACCCCCAAGCCCAACTAACTTCCCATCACTGGGTACCAGACACCGAGCTACCCACATTGGCACATTTGCTCCTTCAGCCCACTTAGGCCAGAGGGTAGGAGTGTAAAAAAGTTATAGCAAAGCAACAGCAGACCCTTGAGGCTGCATTACCAGGAACTAGAGCCCTCAGCCTGGTGACCTCTCGTTAAAGAATGATTGAGTTGTAGCTACAAGATTGATCTGTGCTCCTGTTGTCTGGGGAGACTGCCTGGATGGAAGAGGGGAGGGGGAGAACTTGTTCAAAGATTTTAGGTCACAGGAGACTGAGGAAGCCCTGGAAAGAGTGTCACCGCTAGAGAAGAAAACCAGGTGTGAGGCAGGGCTGGGAGGCAGGTGCCCATTAAATGCTTTACACATTCTGCTTTCAGTCCCCTGAGTTAGAACTTTATATAATCCCTGCCCTGTGAAGGAGGAAATTGAGCATCAAAGAGGTTTAAACAACTTTACCAAGGTCACAAAGTAAGTAGAGAAGCAGAATTTGGAGACTACTTACTGTCAGTCACAAAGCCCATGCTCTGAATTTTTATACTGTGAGTGGACAAAGGTACAGCTACTCTGAGGCACGGTCCATTCTTGGATGTAGTCATAACCTTGGCCTCAAAGGTGTCCCCAGAGCTAGCAGGTCAACCCCTCCATCTGATCACTGATAAGGCACTGCCAAATAAGGCCAAGGAGCTTGACTTAGACAAAGTTCTTTCCCTTGTCTGCCTGTCTGTGACAGGCTCTGCAGTGGAAGGTGCTCTGGTTTTCACTGCTGCCCAGGGAGGCTCATGGCATAAACCCAGATTTCCTGCCCTTCTCAGCACCATTCCTGGTCAACTTGTATGCAGTGTGTCATCAATTACCAGTACCTCACAGAGCCCATGGAGGAGGGATGTGAGAAATTGTTGCCCAGTGGCCCAAAGAGCTTCATGAGTCACCCTCAGTCCTAGTGGACAGTCAGGGGCTGGCTGGGATGCACTCAGAGTAAAAGAGTGGCTGGTAATTCAAAGGGGCTAGAAGCAGGGCTAAATGAGGCATGCAGATAAACACTCACCCCCTTGCCCAGGGGAGTCTCCGACCCAGCTAGGTGCATAATAAAAAAAATGCCAATTTCATTTATCTTTCTGTCTGTGTCCTGCCTGGAGGGAGGATGAGCAGATTAAAAAGCACACTACATTTATAGGCTGGTATAATCTTAGCACTTGTGGTTCAGAGTTACAGCTGCTTGTCTCTGGAGGAGGGTTCTTTGACTGTGCTGCTGCTTATGACAGTTCCCTGCTGATGACCACATGGGCCTTGGTCAGTTGTCTCAGAGGTTATGCTGTTGTTAAGTGCCATCGAATAGATTCCGACCCATAGCAACCCTGTTTAGGGTTTCCAAGGAGCAACTGGTGAGCTTGAACCACCGACCTTGCAGTTCAAATGACTCTTCAGTCTGACGCATTAGCCCACAGCGCCACAGCAGGACTCATAGTTAAAGCCAAAGTCACAGTCACACTCAAGAATGGGTTAAATCATGTGCCTCATTCCTGTGATTACTAACTGTACCACTGACCCTCTCAGAAAGGGTCCCCTGGGCTAGAGGGGGACCAAGTTACGTACCTTATAAAATATTCCCTCTGGTGTTGGTTCTCCAATGCTAGTCCCACAAACTGGTAATAGTCATTTATAGAAAGAAAAATGGTTTCATGGCCCCTTATAGATTAAATCCAAATTATATCTTAAATACATAGTCTTAAAAATGCAAATGTATATTCTGACTCCCTAGAAGGATATGTTGTTGTTGTTGTTGTCAGGTGCCATCGAGTCAGAACCGACTCATAGCGACCCCATGCACAGCAGAACGAAACAATGTCTGATCCTGGGCCAACCTCACTACTGCTGCCACACTTGAGTCCATCAATGATGCCACCTGGCCAATACATCTCGTTATGGGTCTTCCCCTTTTTCTCTGACCCTCCACCTTACCCAGCATGACATCCTTCTCCAGTGACTGTTCCCTCTGGACAATATGTACAAAATATGAGAGACGAAGCTTAGCCATCTTGGCCTCCAAGGAGCACTCTGGCTGCACTTCTTCCAAAACAGATCTATTGGTTCTTTTGGCAGTCCATGGCACTTTTAGTATTCTCCTCCAACACCACAACTCAAAGGCATCAATTCTTCTACGATCTTCCTTATTCACTGTCCAGCTTTCACATCCATATGAGGCTATTGAAAATACCATGGCTTGGGTCAGACACACCTTAGTCCTCAAGCTGACATCTCTGCTCTTCAATACTTAAAAAAGTTCCTGTGCAGCACATTTGCCTAATGCAATACGTCGTCTGATCTCTTGACTGCTGCTTCTGTGAGTGTTGATAGTTGATCCAAGAAGAATGAAGTCCTTGACAACTTCAATCTTTTCTCCATTGATAAGAATGTTGTTTATTGGTCCAATGGTGAGGATTTTTGTTTTCTTGACACTGAGATGCAATCCATATCGAAGGCTGTGCTCTTTGATCTTCATAAGTAAATGTTTCAAGTCCTCTTCGCTTTCAGCAAGCAAGGTTGTATCATCAGCATATCGGCACAGAAGGATATATGGTATATATATTTGGAGACCTGTTTTCACAGAGGAACTTACTAGGCTAGTACTCCTTAGAACACAAGCCGGGAAGTGTCGGAAGACACAGAATATCAGGGTGGAATGGACCATATAAGTCTCCTAAGCTTGACCCCCTACTATCACTGTACAGAGATCCTATTAGGCCACTCAGTGTACCCCATCCTCACAATTACAAAAACTGTGAGTTATAATCATCAAACTCTGACTCCTGAGTTCTCCTCAATTTCTCTCCATCTAGATTCTCAGACAGCTGCTCTATTAATGGGAGGTCTCTGCCATCCCCATGCCTACCTAGCCTCTGTGGGCATACCTATGCCTTGGCCATCTGTACCTCTGCATGCACAAGTCCCTTCTCCCCTGTGTTTACAGAAGAAACAAGCTATCTCAATGTGTAAAAAGGATCTTGTCCAGGGATGGTAAAATACTAGTGCAGATAACACAACTCCCTCATTCCATGACCAACACACACATCACTGATCACACACAGCTCGCTTTCCTGAAAAATCTTAATGCAGCTCCAGGGGCTTGTCAACACAGCAATCCCAGCAGCATTGCCAATTAGTCAGAGTTGGCACATGAAGTAAAACTGTTCCTAGACTTGTCCACTTCTAGGGCAGGAGAGCTGTGGGGAGCAGAGGTGTGGTGGTGGTACTGGCTGACCCCATTGAGAATTCAGGGGAGGATTTAGGAAGGTGGGGCAGAGGGCATGTGGTACAATTCAGAGGAAGGGAGACTGGAGCCTCTGTGACTGGGATCTCTACTGGTTTATCCAGAAGCCTGTTCCTTGCTGTGGGACATGTCTTTTGAGTTCCTCACATATGTTCCATGATATGTGTGTGTTGGTGTGTGTGTGTGTGACTAATGCCATCCTCATAGGCCAAGGGTAAGACCATTCATTTACTCATGCAAGTGCTTTCATTCACTGAAGCAATAAACATTTATTAAGTGCCAGCTGTATCCTAACCAACTGCCAATGAGTCGATTCCAACTCTTAGCAGCACTAGGACAGTGTGGAACTTGCTCCCTAGGGTTTCCAAAGGTATATATCTTTATGGGAAAAGACAGTCTGATCTTTTTCTCATACTATATCTTATTGTTGTGCTATCGAGTCAGCTCCAACTCATTGCCAAGGCTGTTAATGTTTTCGGAAACAGGAAGCCTCATTTTTCTCTCATGGAACAGCTGGTGGGCTTGAACAGCCAACCTTGTGGTTCACAGTCAAGTGCTTATTCTACTGAACCACTACACTCCTATTATATCCTGTTGTTGCTGTTGCTTAGTATTGTTGAGTCAGTTCTGACTCATAGCGACCCTGTATAAGGATTCCAAGGAGTGACTGGTGGATTTGAACTGCCGACCCTATGGTTAGCAGTCCAGTGCTGGTCCTATAGTGCCACTATATCCTAGGCCCTGTCAAAAGAAGAATTTTTTAGCTGGCTTACTGGAAGGAGACACAGCAGACAGGAGATACTGACCCCATTTTGTGTATTGGGACACTCACCAACCAAAGCACAAAACAGTGGAGCAACTGATGTGAGGCAGATAGATACATGGAGAGAAGGCAAGTCTGAGAGGGTGAGAGAGAGAAAGCATGCCAGGATTATAACCTGACACTCTGCATTCTTGAGCTTACAAATACCTGTGAAAAATGTCTTGGGTCTTAGAAGGTATTATTAGATCTTAGGAGTTGTGGGAAAGAGAGAGCTAGGGGAACGCTTGCAGGAAATCATCACAAGTGTAGGAAATGCTGTCACCGCACAGTGCCGTGAGAAGCAGAGATGGAACGGAGGAGCCGTGGAGTCTGGCCCAGGCAGGTCATTAAGTAGCTTTGTAACCTCACGAAAGACACTTTTCCACTCAGGCCTCTTTGTCCTCACTTATGAATGAAGTAGCTTGGGCTTTAGTCATGCTTTCCAGACAGAATGATGTTGCAGATGGTAATTATATGCATATGTATGGTGCTGTGGGTTAATGCGCCAGACTGCAAAGCGATTTGAACTGCAAGGTTGGTGGTTCAAGCTCACTAGCTGTTCCTCGGAAACCCTCTACAGGGTCACTATGGGTCGGAACTGACTCAACGGCACTTAACAGCAACAGCATCAGCCACAGTTGCTTCTTACATTGAGGAAGAGATCCCAGGATCTATATTCCCCCTTCTCTGTGAGATAAAGTTTTACTGGAAATATGGCAGCACAGATAGACAGTGTATTTACCTTGTGCCTCAGTGTAGCCATGTGACTAATTTCTGATGAATAAGAAGTGAGTCAAAGTGATGTGCACCATTTCTGATTTATGTCTTTTCTATGAATGGATGACATTCCCCTGTCCTCTCACTTCCCCTGACTAGGAAACAAAGCAGGCAGATGCCTTGGACTCACAAGGGAGATCCCATGCCGAGGATGGCAGAGCCCTGGAATCACCTGGTAACATGAAGGAGAAGTGAACTACATCTTGTTTAAGATGTGGAGTATCTTTGTTACAGCAGTTTGTTGTTGTTCTTGTTGTTAAGTATCAGCGAGTCAGTTTCGACCCATAACAACCCAGTATAGGGTTTCTAAGGAGCGACAGGTGAATTTGAACCACCGGCCTTGTGGCTCAAACCAACATTGCAGTCTAGTGCATTAACCCACAATGCCACACCAAGTTTAGTTCATACCTAATGAATAAAATCCTTTCAGAGCAAAGATTCTCTAAGAGTCAATGGAGTCATTCATTCTGCCTTCTTTCTGGGCTAATCTAGACATTCGCCAGAACTGTCTGAGATCAGTTCAAAGATAGCAAGATCTAGTGGGTCCCTGGGGAGGGAGGACAGTGGAGTCAGAACATCTAGATGCACCAAAGAAATTGAGGTTCTCTTTCCAGGTGGGTACCAAGGTGAGTGCAAGGGTGATAAATATTCATTTCAACTTTGTGGACATGCTGTAGACATTTGATTGTGGCCCCTGTTTAGAGGGGTTCCATTCAATGGTCAGGCTGGCCTTACCTGTTCTGCCCCAGTCACTGTGTAGGCATGGCTGCTCACCAGGCCATTGTCCATCTCACAGTCCTGGCATGTCTGCAATAAAGAAGAAAAGCAGACCAAGCTTTAAACTCCAGAGAAACAGAAAAGTACACACCAGTCAGCAGTGGAACTGGAGCTAGGTGAAACGGATCTACTGACTCACTGACACATGTCCCTAACTCTCCTTTCTAGAGAGGCAGAGTTTGTAGACTGACTGGGGGGCTGAGGGCGCACATATTTCAAGACCTACGAAACCACTCCATTATGGATAGAACCCCACAAAGCTCTGAAAATCTGGGTTGCTTGATCCTCTAATCCCTGGTCATCGATGAGGCACAGTACACAATCTGTCTGTTGGGTCCATTGCAAGAGCCAAGACTCTCCCCGAGCCCCTGACTGTGCTGTGAATAATTGGGGTTTAAAGTGCATTTTAGTTTTCCAGTGGCATCTTGGGTGAGGGATGTGTGACTCAAAGCAACACGTCTGAAGAGTGAAGGAAGCATCACCATGGATAAGGAGCCATCTGTCTCCTTATCAAACAATTTAGTTTCCCTAAATGGGACATTCCACTGTGGGTGCTGCCTGTAGAGCCACTGAGAATCAGAGGACCCAAGTGAGGGCTCGCTGTACATTCCAGACCAAGTGCAAAGGGTCTACATGCAGTGAGAACCTAGTGGGTAACAAAGGCCCCAGGTCACTCTGTAGTCTATTGCTTCTGGTCACGGAGAAGCAGTAAGCAAAGGCTTTGGAGTTGACAGCAACATTTGAACCCCTGCCGTGCCACTTGGTATTTGTTTTACTGAACTTTGTGGAGCCCATTTCCTCTTTGGTAAAACGAATTTTGCCTGCCCTATCTCTAAGGCGGGATGATTGTAAAGATTCAACGAGTTTTCCTAGATAAAATATACAATAAGTGTTCCATAATGGCTGCTTTGCTCCTTTCCACACTAGCTGCATGGGGCATTCAATGAACACTCTCGGGTGAGCAAAGACTCTGAGCAATACACAGGGATTCCTGTCATTTCCTGGGAGGGGTCCCGCACTCACCTGGCCCAGAGTGTTGCAGGCCATGAGGGATCCGGCCTGGGCTGCCGTCTTCACCATCAACATCAGGTTGGAAGAGGAGGAGGGCAGTTTGAGAGTGGTGACCACCCCTCCTGTGAGGTCCACCAAGGCATCAGGGAGGTAGCCATAGTGCAGGTGGAAATAGGATCCATGCAGCCTGGAAAGGGGAAAGTCAGATAATCCTCATGGTGCCTTCTCTCTTCAGATGTTCTGACTTCTACATTGCCCCCAGCAGAACCACTGCCTGGCCCACATCTGGCCAGGCCTCCACCTCCCATTCTCATGGATGGAGAGTTGACCTATACTACCAGTCCAGAGCCTTCCACTGTCCTCATCACTTCCCATCCCTTGTCCCTAGGCCTGAACAGCCCCAAGAGTGGCTGTTTTGTATAGATTAGAGGTGAAGTTACTGGAACAAAGCTTGGGTTAAATCCCAACCTCATTGCATGTTTGAGTTTTTTGACCTTGGACAAGTTATTTAGCTTCATGAGGCTGACACATAACAAGTCTTTAATAGATATTAGATGTGATTTGATGATGATCTACTTCCTGTTCAGTGTAATAATAGTTTAAGGAGAGTAAAACCTGAGAAAATCAGAACTTGTGTAAGGTAGGAACCTCTCAGAAAAGGAAAACTCAAATATTTCCCACTGATAGATAGTAATAGAAAACTGGTAAGACCCTGTCAAAGGCAGAAAGCTTGTGAGACCTGGAAAAACAAGGCACTCCCATTGTGTTCCAGCACTCACGGGTTTCACTGTACTTAATTTATATGCCAGGCTCTGAGTAGCTTAAACACAAACAAAACTCCATTTCTGTCCTCAGTGAGTTTGCCCAAGCAGCCAGTGTCCACACTGTGCAAACCTCAAGCCAGGATTTAGAACCTGGTAACAGCCTGAAAATTAACCCATTTATCCTCCAAATCTTTAGGTAGGTATGCCAACTTTACTGAAGCTAACCAGGGTGAGTGTTATGCAACACACCCCAAAGCCCTTCCCCTCTCTGGCTCTCAGCCTTTCCTGTAGAAAACATGAGGTTGACTGGACCAGCTCTGAGGGCCCTTTGGGTACTCCTTTCCCACCAAGTTTCCATTCTCTCCTCCTAGAGACCACCCAGCACTGAAGAAAGTTCACATCAGTACATACGTATCAAGAAGCCACGACAGTCCTGCTGTGGCACTGGGGATGAGCACTGGACTGTGAATCACAAGGTCGGTGGTTTAAACCCACCAGCTGTTCCTCAGAAATTCTATTTAGGATCACTATGAGTTGGAACTGACTGGTTGGCACTTAACAAGAACACAGAACACCACCCCAATCATAAATGCAATAAATGGCTTAAAAAGTCTTTGCTAAGACAGAACAAAGGGACAATTCCATAGAAACTTTCATGTGACAGACTTATCTTAACTTGCTATAAAACAGGTTCAAAATCTTACCTTTTTGTCTCTTCCTATCTCTGACCAAGGGTCATAATTAGTACTAGACTCTTTTATCTGGGGTGCTTCCTTGTTAAGTGCTGTCGAATCGGTTCCAACTCATAGCGATCCTGAACAGGGTTTCCAAGGAGTAGCTGGTGAGTTTGAGCCTCTGATCTTGTGATTCAAACCAAACTTGTAGTCTAGTGCTTTATCCCACAATGCCATAGCAGGACACCCTACAAGGCTCTTAGTCAACTGCAAAGCCTCCCTTTGATCATGATTCTGCCCAGTTGGCCTGAATGCCTGTCTGACTCTTGATTGCCCAAGTGTATTCTGGCTCCTGTTCCTAAACCAAGAGGGTTTTATGCTAAGGTAAGGAAACCTGGCGGTGCAATAGCTAAAGCACTTGATTATTAACCAAAAGGTTGGTGGTTTGAACCAGCCACTCCATGGGAGAAAGATGAGGCAATCTGCTTCTGTAAAGATGTACAATCGCAGAAGCCCCATGAAGCAGTTGTGCCCTGTCCTATCAGGTGGCTAGGAGGTGGAATCCACTTAACTGCAGTGGGAGTTGGAGTTTGTGCTCAGGTACTGGTGGCTCTCAGAGATGGGGGTTCTAGAACTCATTGCAAAGCCCATCAGTGAGATGTGCTCTTCTGCTCACTCAAACAGCCATTCCTTGTAACATGCTCAGTGGCCTCTCTGCCTTCACAGAGGTCCACTCCAGAGAACAGCTGCTGGACTTTGTCCCCGTCACTTCATTGTCTTTGGTCCTGATATCTTACATCCCACACCATTTTGCAGTCATTACAGAGCTACCCAACATCTGGCAGGGCACGTTCCCTCTTCAGTCTGCAGCTTTCCCCTCCGCGTCGCCCTGAAGCCTTCTTGTTGCCCACAAAAGTCTGTCCCAGCAGCAGAAAGGTGTTTTGACAAAGAGCCATCTCTCTGCTTTACAAACATGAGCTCAGGAATCCCGCTGATGTATCAAGAACATAGTAACTATTCTTAGCCCCCTTACTGACAGGAAAGAGAAAGGAAATAAGGGAGAGAAAGAGTCATATTTGCCACATCTGTCACTACTCCTTGTCACCGAACCCAGGGATTCTGAGATAGCTTTTCCACATCATTTTTGGGAAATGTCTCTTTGCCCAGCAACAAGATGAAGAAGGGAAGAACTCGGGTCTCTAAATCAGAGCCAGAAAAGATGCTGATATGCTATGATTCTCCACTGCAGATGTTCTTTAAAGGATTATGTGCTGCTCACATCTTGTCTCCCCAATTTCCTCTATTTATGACCTCTGTGGGGGACTCTTTCTACACAGATTTTTGCTACTTTTGACTGGATCTGACCAATTCATTATCAGACTCCCTGGCTACCAGGGTAAGTGCAAGTTTGGAGTCTATTGAGCTATTGCTTACGTCCTTGGGGAAGGAGAGTCCTCTCCATATGAAGGGGTGGGCTCTTAACATCTGTGCCATGGACCAGCCTCTGAGATTCACAGAAAGCAGAGTCCAATCCTTTCCCTCTGGGACAGACAGCATCAAGGGATGGTGGAAAGCACCTGACGAGACAAAACAGTTCTCCCCTGAGCCTGGCCTCCAATGCTGTGTGACCTTGGGCAGGTCATTTCACCTCTCTAGGTCTCAGATTCTCATCTTTCAAGAAGGTAAAAGAGTTCCTCCCCATTCTTAAGTGCTTTCATTCTATTTGACTCTAACCTCCATATTCTATAAGTTTCCTCTGTGAATGTTGGGGGGCAGAGGGGAAGCTTTTAAACAGCTTAATAGTTTGAAACATTTTATCCTCCACTAGGTTCCTTTAGGGGATGGAATGTGAAGTTGGAGCCCACTTTTCCATTTCTGTTCAGGCCGAATGATTGCTTTAAGTCAGCGGTTAACAAAATGGGGTCAAAGTCATCATTTCATTCCGCAAGCTTTCTAATTCACCAAGTGAACTGCCACGCTATAGCCTGCCATGTAAGGAAACATCGAGGCCCTGAAGTGGTGAAGGCTGAATCCGTACTGGAAAGATAATAGTAGTATTTGTGTAAGTAGCTTAGATGTGAATTAACCTCCCCAAACATATGGACTGGTTCATCAGCCTAAGCAAGCTATTATGTGGGCTTCCTTCTCCAGTGCTAATGAACAGTTCTTCCTGACACAACAACTTCAGTTTCAGTTTCTCACAAGTTAGCTCAGAAGAAATACCGGTGTGTGTGTGTGTGGGTGGGGGGGGATAAGGGGAAGGCGTGGGAGACACATCTTGAGACAGCTCACTGTTTAGATTGTGACATCCAGAAGGACAGAGTAAGGTCTCAGGAGGAGAAAGGGTATTCAAGTGGTTTGAACTCTATTACTAACCTAAGGTTGGCAGTTTGAACCCAATCAATGGTACTGTGCAAGAATGGCCTGGTAATCTGCTTCTTTAAAGATTACAACCAAAGAAACTTTTGGAACACTTACTCTGTAACTCGTGGGGTTGCCTTGAGTTCACTGACTGCACAGCAATGAGCCCAGCGCTGAACTTGGCAGGTGCTGGCATTTGTTTAAGTGCTGCCCACTCACTGGTCAGGTGACTAAAGACCTGCAGCAGATCCAGGTTAGCTACTGACACCAGCGGTCACAACACTTCTCAGAGCCTCAGTGTCGCCATTGGTGAATGACGGGTTAATTAGAGTCAAGGGGAAACTTGCTGATTTTCTCCACTGATTTTCTCTTCCAGGGTATGGTCTTCTGTCCTTTGGATTCCTGGCATTGATTTCTAGCTCTGATATGTTCTCCCCAGGGTCTGCCTCACACACAGCCCTTTCTGAGGGAAAATGCTCTCCCACAGCTTCTGTTGACATGGGGGAGTGGGAGCAGCAAACTCAGAGAGCCATGTTTATAATCACTTGACCTGGGTCACAACTGACTCGACCAATGAGAAAATGAGGATGCTGTCATGAGGGACCAGTCCCTGGAGAAGGACAACAACAATAACTTGGCAGTACCTAACAGCAATGAGCACAGAACTGGCTGGAGCCTGTTGTTGTTGTGAAGTGCCATCGAGCTGGTTCCAACTCATAGCAACCCTATATAGGGTTTCAGAGGTGCAGCTGGTGGGTTTGAACGGCCAACCTGTGTGTGGTTCACAGTCCAGTGCTGATCCTACAGTGCCATACCAGGAGCCCAGGTGGAAGCTAGCAGAAATTAAAATCACACATGTACATAAAAGGGGCTATGGGATTAAGTTGAGGAGTCAAAAGAAAGCGTTCTGAGGAAGACAACACTAAAAAGATGCAGAGAAAAAGAGGTAGAGCAGCTGCCTGGTGACAAGAAGAACAGCAAATGGTCACAGAGGAAAGCAGAGGGCAGCTCAGCGATGGTAGTGACAAAACAAAAGCTAGAACCTTTCTCCACTTTCCTTCTCTCTGATGTCCTGACTGAATGGCATCCCTACTCTTGGACTTCTACAAGACTCCATCTCCTCTTTGCCCTCTGTGCATCGTTGCTTTTTCTTCCCGTGCTATCATCACTGCAAGCTTCTTGTTTTGCATTTCATGTCATCCATATGTGTAGTTAGCCCCGCTCTCATTTCCCTCGGCCCACAGACAGCCATTTCAGGGGGTTTTGTTCAATGTACACCTTTCTGTTTGCATGTGTTTTTGTAAAATGAGCATTACAGTGTTTGTGGCTATCATTTGCATAAATGATTTTGTGTTTAATTTCTCCCTGTTCTAGACTCCCTTTGCTCAGCATCCTGCCTCTGAGGACCTCCCCCATGGCTGTGTGCAGATCTGATCTGTGGCCTCTCACTGCTGTGTGGTGTTTCACGGAGGGCAGCCACTTGTCTTACCTGTCCACACAGCAGTGGGCACTGACTACACTGCCATGGTTTTGCCATGTATATCCTCAGACACAACCCTTAATGCCCTGCATGGGAATCTCTTCAGAGCTTATATCCAAGAGTACCCCTTGTTGGGTCTGAGGTCTGACTATCTTTAACTTGACTAACTTTTGTCACATTGTCCTTCAAAATGACTGCATCTGTCTATACTCCACCAGCATGTGCAGGTCAACACTTGGCATTATCAGCTACTGCTTTTGTCTGCATTCCTCTAATTATGTATTTGAGTTTCTCTTCATAAGTTCTGTGTGTCCTACAACAGTACCATCTTCTGTACACGCACATATACACATGCATGCATATACATCCTTGCACACACGCACTTGAATCATTTGAGTATGTCTCCATCCCAGTGCAAAGAACAGTGCCTGGCACACAGTTAAATGCTCAATAAACATCTTTTGAATAAAAGCAACCCAAAAGGTCTAACAAATATAAACTGGCATATCTATTAGTCTTAGAGCTTAGAGTCCTGGTGTGGTGCTGTAGGATAAAGCACTGGACCACAAAGTCGGTTTGAAATGCAAGATCGACAGTTCAAACCCACCAGCTGCTTCTTGGAAACCCTGTACGAGGTCGCTATGAGTCGAAATTGACTCTACAGCACCTAACAGCAACAACAGAGCTTAATAGCACCAAAAGACAGTCACTGCATTGTGGTGTTTCGACCATATAATAAGGAGCAACTCTTACTCCTGTCCCAGTTCCCATACATAACTGCCATTTCCCAACTGTCTGGATCCTAGTTTGAACTGCCCTGCCTCTAGGTCTTTGTTTGAACCAGGCCCACTGTTGGGGATAATGCCCACCCCCATAGGTTTTCTTCTCCTACTGAAACTAGAACCAATCATTCAAGGCCTCCCTCAAATGCTACCATCCCTCTAGAGCTTCCGAAGTCAAGATGGTTTGCAGTCTCGTCTGCCCTCATATCAGACTTTGATCATGACATTGTATTTTACTTGGGCCTTCATAACCAGCATTTTCAACAATATCACTGTCAGCGAGAATCTCTGCCCTGCCCTGCCTACCCCTTGCTATGGGCCTCTGGTTCCCTCCTAGTGGCCCAAGGTAGGGCCTTGCACATGATGATAGTTTATGGAGGCTGCCCAGCCAGGTCACAGAGACGCTTGTGCTCCTGAGAATGTTGCTAGTGTTCAACAGAGCTGCTGGAGGCTGTGGGGCCAGACAATGAGGAGCTTCTGTCAGGGCAAGAGGCGAGGATGATCAGGCCAGCAGTGAGGCCCGGCAGAGGGCCAGGTCTGTCCTTACTTGGCATAGGCTTTCTCCAGCAGGCAGGGCCAGAACTCATGGTTGTCTTTGCAAGGACGAATGAAGAGGTAATCATGCTGATCCCACACAGGCAGGCGATCATCAACCACCACGTCCACCCATTGGCCACACTGCCAGAACTGGAAGAGAGATGAGCACATGCCTTAGTAGAGGAGGGTCCAGAGGGGTCCTGAAGCACACCCCACCCCAGGCCAAAAGATAATCACAGTTACCATGTAATCAATACGATGCAACAACTGACTCCAGAATGCAATCCCATCCCAGCTTGCTGGTCAGGGGATGGGCATGTTAGCTCAATGGGCAGATGGAGAGAATGAGTCACAGACCATTGAAGCAGGGAGGATGGAGACTTGAACTGTAGTCTGACTTTGTTGCTAATTAATGCCTCACATTGGTAAGTCCTGATTCCTTTGTGATTATAAAGACACACACATGGAAATCTGCCCGAGGCTCTCCAGTTACATCTTGTACACAAAATGGTGTCATGAAGAGTGAATGCTGCATAACACAAAGGAGAACGGTAATAGGAATGTTGGCTAGAGACAGAAGAGTCCACCAGGGGCTGAGGGTGCATGGAAGGAGGAAGGATTTATGACAGATGATATTATGTGTCAGTTTGTTGAGGCCATTTCAACCACCATTCTGTGAACTAATGTGTGTGGGGGTTTCTTTGGGGGTATAGCCTGCATACAATATATATGGATGTTCTGACAAATCTTCTGCATCTGGCTCATCATCCTCTGACCTCAGGTTCTTGGGACATGAGCCAGCAACCTGCTGCCTGACATATAGACTTGAAATTTGGCAGATTCTACAACTATGTGAACCATTTCCTTGAAATGCATCTTTCTCTTTCTTTCTCTCTCTATGTATATACATACTCACTGGTTTTGTTCCTCTAAAGAACGCAGCTTAAGGTAGCAAGGAAATAGGGAAATCACTCCAGAGAGTGGGAACAGCACAGGCAAATGCCTGGAGGCAGAATGATGAGATGGCTCAGGAGGATGGAGCAGTTACAGCCTCGCTCTCCTCCCAGCAAGCTGGCCCTGCCACTAGAGCAGCAGTAGCAAAACTGGCTGGCTCTGGTATGGCTAAGAGCACAAATGAACCAGATGTTCCTCTCCAAAACAGACCGTTTTAATCTTCAGCATTCAATGCTAAATGGTTCACTAAGGGACATCACCAAATTAGAAATATTCATAACGAAGCCAGCCTCTTGGAGCTTCTCTCCTGGTCTCCCCTGTACTGGAGCAGCAACAGGACTGTCAGCTTTAGGTATGAGCCTTGAAGAAGGTGAACTTCCCCAACAGGTGGGCTCAGAGCAAAGCTGACTGGATGTCATCGATCATGTGCTAGGCAGTGACAGAAAGTCATCCACATGGCTTTTCCCACAGCTGGGTGTCCCAGATGTTGAGCTGTCACATCCAGCTGAGGACATGCTATCAGAATAGCAATGAAGACAGGGACAGAGATGTCAGTGGAGACAAAGCAAAGATGTTTTCACGGTCATTAACATGCTATTGTTCTACAGCTGGTGTCCCTGGGGGTACGTAGAGTTAATGCACTTAACTGCTAACTCAAAGGTTAGAGGTTCTAGTGAACCTAGAGACATTTTGGGAAAAAAGATCTAGTGATCTATTTATTATTATTATTCTTTTTTAAAACTTTTTATTGTGAATTGAGTGAAGGTTTACAGACAAGATGATGAGTTTTACATTCAACAAGTAAAACACTTTGTTTCATCTTAATGATTGCAATCCCCTCCGTGGAACAAGAGCCATCCCACTTCCTTTCTGTTCCCATATTTCCATTCCATCCACCTTTCCATCCTTTTTCGCCTTTGTCCTTAGCTAGTTTGGAGATCTTCTTCTGAAAAAGCAGCCACTGAAAACCCTATGGAGCATAGTTCTATTCTGACACACATGGGATCACCATGAGTTAGGATGAACTCAACAGCAAGCGGTATGTTGTGGTGTGGTACCATGGGTAGGTCCTGGCACAGAAGTGTACTTGCATTCCTATTGCAGTAAAAATAAGGCATGTAGGGGGTAAGGTTGAAAGGCATCAGGGACATGAAACATAGCTGAAGCACTGAGGAAAGCCAATACGATCTCCTAAATCAGGGGCACTTGAAGGACAGACTACTTGGATTTTGTATTTACATGAGGAGTAAAAGGTACAGTGGAAAGTATCCAGTCAGGGAATGTGCACTGATTTAATAAGGTTTACTATTTTCGCCAAGTGTACTCTAAGCAACTGATGTTATTAAGCAAGACACACTTTTCTGTGGGTCAGTTTCTTCCTTTCTCAGGTGGTGATAGGTAGAAGAACCATCCTTACAGAGTAGACACTGGATTAGATGAGATTGTGAAAGTGAGACTGTTGTGAAAGGAGGGACTGCTCTTCACGAGACTTTTTGTTCAACACCTAGGATAGTGCTGGGCACACAGTTACCATGTTCAGCACCTAGGATAGTGCTCAGCACAGTTACCATGTTAAGTGTCTTTGAGTCAGCTCCAACTCATAGTGACCTTGTATAGGGTTTCCAAACAGTGACCGGTGGGTCTGAAACTCCAACCCTACAGTTAGCAGTGCAGTGCTTTATCCTATAGCACCACATGAGGATTTCACCTAGTAGGTCGTAAGAATGAATGAGTCTTGGATTCAGCGAGCTCCTGTGGGTGGTCCCCCTTAGAAATCACTCTCACTCCTAGCCAGCCTCCAACAGACTAAACCTGCTCTCTCTGTATGAAGGGAACATGTGATAAGACAACTGTTCCTAAAGAGGGTACAAATGACATCGTTGATGGTGACCTGCATTTCCTGGTCAACCTCTCTGGGTGAAAAGGACAGATGTCTACACAACGTCTATGCCCCTCAAACATCACACTGGTGCTAATTTTACCCATCATGAGAAGTGCTTTGGGCAAAACATCCAAGTTGCCTCAGACACAGCATCCTTAACAGATAGAGTAGATATGAAGGGACTGCAGCACTCAGCAATGATGCTGCTCTGAGTAGGCTGTGTGACCTTCTTCACTACCTAGAAGGCTGAAGTGAGACTGCCGGGGCCTCAGGGAGTTCTAAGCATCTAAATAACTACCACAAACACTTGGTGCCCTGGTAAAACCTAGACAGAATTGAACTTTCAATCCTCTCACGTGTTCTAGAGATATTTCTGAACTCCAAGGAGAGACAGCCTCTTATAAAATTGAAATTTGAAAGAACATGTTGTTTATAAAGCCAAGAGATGAGATTAGCATTGACTTTTCCAATGTAACATTGGAAGGTGAAAAACTTGACAAAACACTGGTTACACACTTCTGAGGTGAAAGAATGTGAGCAAGAATCCCAATTCTAACCAAAATACCATTCTTAAGTGAAAGCAAAAGGAAAAACCTTCATGTATTCTTCTATTCTGTGAAATTTATTCAAGAAAATATGGTACTATAGAATAAGTACTGTACTGCTAAGCACAAGGTCAGCAGTTCAAACCCATCTGCCACTCCATGGGAGAAAGAAGAGGCTTTCTGCCCATTTAGAGAGTTACAGCCTCAGAAACCCTACATAAGGTCACTATGAGTAGAAATCAACTTGTTGTCTCTGGGTTTGGTTTGAATAAGGATTACTTAAAAACAAAAGTCTCAAAATAGGGGAAAAGTAAGGGTAAAAGAAACAATGGTGAGAAATGATTTTTAAATATGCTTTTAAAAATAAGAAACATATCTATTACACAGTAAAAGTGAAGTGGATAAGAAAGGAACAAGCAACGAAAAGCATGCCAGGAAAATGTACATCCCAGGAACTTCCAGAGGCCATATGAATATCAGATAAAGAGAATTCAAGACCAGGGGCATCAGTATAAAAGAGGGATACTATGTAATTTTCACTCCACCAAGAGAACTTCTCAATTGCAAAACTTTGTCAAGTTTCTTTCTGGTTGTTCTATCCATTTTTGAAAGCGGTATATTAAAATCACCCACTATTATTGTAGATTCATCTATTTCTTTATTCAAACCTATTAGACTTTGCTTTATATATTTTGAAGTTCTTTCACTGGGAGCATAGATATTTATTATGGTTATTTCATCTTGTTCAGTTGTCCCTTTAATCACGACATAATGTCCATCTTTATCTATTATGCTGTTTTTTTGCCTTCAAGTTTATCAGAGATCAGTACTGCCACTACTGTTCATTTTTTATTACAATTAGCTTAGTATATTTTCTTCCATCCTTTGAATTTTAATCTATTTTTGTCTCTGTGTGAGAGATGTGTCTCTTGCAGACAGCATATTGAAGGATCTTGTTTTCTTATCCATTCTGCCACCCTCTGTCTCTTAACAGGTGCATTTAATCCACTTACATTCAGTGTAATTATTGATAGGTATTGATTAATTGCTGCCATTATGTTTGTTTTTTTGTGGTGTTGCTGCTTCCTCTGTTCTATGTGTCTTCCTTTGTTGAATTCATGATTTTTGTGTTCTTTCTTGTGAGTTTCCTCATAGTTTCAATGTTTCCATGTTCTTCTTGGATTTTCATTCTCTCGGTATGTTGTGAGGTTGCCTTATAGTCCATTAACTTTTCTTCCCATTTAGTGCTGTCTATTTTATCCTGTGATCGACCTTACCCTTACCTTCTCACCATCTGGATCTCTGTTCCTATGTGTTTACCTTCTTTTACATTATACTTGTTTTGATCATAGATTGACCTTCCAGATTCTTTGAGTTTGTTCTTATAGTTTTTTTCCATTCTCGACTCTTCGTTCTGTTGACTTAATTCTGGGAGGTGCTGTCACGTATGTCAATCTCTGGTTGTTGTCTGTTCTTGTTGGTTCTCAGTCCACAGAACTCCCTTTAGGATGTTTTGTAGCACAGGGTTGGCTTTGGCAAAATCCCTTAGCTTCTGTTTATCCTGGAATGTTTTGATTACACCATCATATTTGATTGATAGCTTTGCTGGATAAAGGATTCTTGGTTGGCAACTTTTTTGTTTCAGGGTTTTATATATGTCTCCCCACTGCTTTCTTGCTTGCATGGTTTCTGCTTAGAGATAGATCCAAACTTAATCTGACTTGCTTGCCTTTGTATGTGGCACTTCTGTTTTCCCTGGCTGCTTTCAG